ATTTGTCCTTAGAAGATGTCCCAGCCATTATAGCCTCCTCTTGATAATTATTAGACCGACAGCCTCTTGTCCCACACTCTTTCTGATCTTCATTGCCCTCCCCCCCCCCCTCCCCTCCACCACTCTAATTTGCCAGTTGATCTGCAGGCTCTCACGCTGGTCGTGTGCCCTTATCCCTTGCAAGATGCGTGCTCAGTCTCAATAGGTTTTCACCTGGTTAATTGTGAAGTCAATCAATGATTGTGGAGCCAGGCAGAGCAGCTGGCGGGATCACGTGTCCAGTGACACCCCTGCCCCCCCTGCCCCCCCCCACGGCTTTCCGAGTGACATTTGACCCCCGCGCTTCCGCCGCTGCTGCCGCCTCCCCAGTGGTGGGCACGGGCTTCCAGACCCACACCCCCCACTGCCCGGTCCGTTGCCGGTCCGCCGAAGGTGCATTCGAGGAAAAGGGATGCGGGCAATCGCACCGCGACCGCGCTGCCTACGCATCGGCCACGTCGCCATGGTTGCAGCCTCTGGGGCTGCGATTACGCGTGAAGTTTCCCAACCTGCTGAGGGTTACTGTACGAGGGCTTGACGTGAGCTCGCTGTTCGGGACGCGATGTGTCCCCCCTTCGTGCTTTGATTGCGGCCCCCCCCCCCCCCCCCCCCCCCAGACTCTCCTGCCAGAAGAAGGCACGGCGGAAGGAATTGGCTTTAGCAACGTTTGCGGTTTTGTTTTTGACGTGGAGGAAATGTGTCGCGCCTATCGGTGGGGTGCATTGTGCCACAGGTGCACACGCAAAGACAGATGCGGTCGAGGTCTGCCTTGATCCTGGGTAGACCATTTGGGGCAGGTCCTGCACGCCAGTTTGGCATGCAAGGGTGTAGTGCAATGGGTGCTCGTATCACCCCGAGTCTCTATGCTGATGACACTTCCCATTGATGCGCGTGGTACGAAGTCGATGAGAATGAAACTGCACGGATTCTGCACGTGCGCGTTTCCACGTCCTTTTATCGCGGGCAATGCAGCGGCATATGAACGCTGCACTGTGCAGTGCCCACAGAGGTTTCAAAAACACGAAGCAGACACGCGCATACCGATGAACGTTGCACATAATGGCATTCCAAATTCCGAATACTGTATGCGGCTTAAGGTCTTACCCCGATGGGTTTGTTTCTGCTTTCGTGGTACGACATTTGCATGTTTTACTTCATTGCCTAACGGAGATAAGCCATCGCTGGGACTACACGCAAGCTAAATGTTATCGGGCAACATCCCGCTAAGCGTGCAGGCTGCGGTGTTCTGCACAAAATTGTAAATTGAGCCAAATTGTGAATGTGAACGCATGGGTGCAATGTTGCATGTAATTACATCATTCAGTAAATTAACTGTAGCTGTTTAACAAAGTGTATAAGTAGGTGCTTTAAGTAGAATATGTTTTAAGGTAGCTGTAAATAAATATCCAAGCATGCCTTTCGTGCATTGCGTGCAGAAACTTGCATGTGGTTTTCTGCTGAGATAAAAAATTAATATTGCTTGTGTCCATTGTTTACAATTTTAAATAGAGATCTTGGTCTTGCGCGTATTATTTGTTAACGTTTGTATCTCTTTGTTTATGCACTGCTATGCCGGTCATTGAAGTTGTTTGACCATACTTCACCATGCCAGTCAATGCAGGTTGATGAAAGGGAAATCCCAGAAACCGTTTCAGATATCACTCACTCATCACCTGTTACCCACGGCAGGGAATTGAAACCGGGTTGTTTGTTTAAAAGCACACTGCGCATTGTACGCTGAGTTAATACACGCTTCTTGGCTATTCCTCTTGCATTGCGTGCTTTCAGATGCGCTTCTGTGGCCGTCTGGAACGCTCTTCCATCTGATATTTGGAAGCCACTGGAGCTATGCACTTTTCAACATAGATTGAAAACGCGTTTCTTTCGAGCTGCTTTTTGTGTTTAGGTTGTTGTCCTTCCCCCCCAACGCCGCACCTCCGCTTACCACGGCTGCCTACGTACGGTGCGAAAGAATTGCGTATATTTGTTCCGCACGCTGTCGTCCCAGTACGCGTGCGTACCGTACACGTGCGCACGGTGTAATTGACGCACGGTGTGGGAGACGGAGTGTGCCTACGGGAAGGCTCTTTCCCCCGCCATGGTTAATTCATAGGGCGTCCCGCACATGACTCGCTCCCGACAATGGAGTTGCCCTAATGATGTCTCTCAATTTCCAGCGCTGTAATAGAAATGATCATTACAATCTTTCAGTCATTCATCGTAGTGGGGATGACATGTGCTGCCTCTTGGCACTTTTTTGCCAGGGGCGAAATGTCTTTGCGAAAGGCCATATATGTATTTTTAATAGCATTCTTAGTAATACGCTTTGGAAAGTGTCCATGTATTGCTATACATGCAGAGGCAATGGTAGGAGACATATGTTGTCATTAGGCTGATATTTTGGACTATAGCCCTGTATTAGAGCTGAGGAAATTGGGGAATTTTAAGGTTGTCAAATTAACAAGTTGCAATCTTGCCATTATTGAGCCACTTTTTATTTTATAGACGTGAAGTGTGCATGTAAATGAGTAAAACATATAGAAATGAAGCGATTACATTTTGCATTAACAGATGTAATTGTCGAACTGCATCGTGGAAAAAAAAAACAAGCTATAATTATTTGCTACAATAATTGTTACATCAGCAAGACATGCGCACAACGATCTGCGCGCACACGAGGTGAATATTTGCACAACATAAACCTTATCACTGCCACACATTGAGAGGGCCTTAGCCAACCTCCCCCAGCCCCCGCTACTTTGACCAAAGGCCATTGCAACCGAAGCCTCGTCCGTAGGTCTAACCAACACGTTGATTACAACGTCACTCGTGACCACACGAGCCAGTGACTATGCCAACAGTGATGTCAAGCGGATGTCCTCGCGTGCACATGTGCCCATTTGGGCATGTGGCGTCTCCCGCGTGCATATTTCCCCTTCTGTTAAGAGGCTGGCGTGCCTCTCCTTCGCGCTCAGAGGCCACCACCTCATTTGAACCACATCTCTGGTCAATGTTTTTACACCAATTGGAGTTGTCATATTTACATCCAGTGTCTACAGGGGACATTTTCATTTTTTGCGGTTTTCTTTTTCCGTCTCGGCCTTGTTTTGCAACAGGTTCACGAGAAAACGACAGTCTGTTTGTCACGTGACTCTTGTTGTGCGGCCGATCATACAAATAACACGGGGGGTGATGCGGGGGTGGTTGGTTTACCCAATCTGGATTGCGGTGACACACCATGACACGGGCCGTTCGTTCAGCGGTGCCGACTCCAGTGACTTGCAAACTGAACTTGATTTCGCTCGTGCCCTACCCCAGAGCTAATTGTTAGCCCGCTAGTTGACGAGTGGCCGGCCTAAGCACGACTGTGATGTGGAATGCCTTCGGGTGGGGCGAGGCGACTGCGGTCTATTTTTACATTTCCTTCCCTCGGGGTATTTGATTGCTGCGCGGGCCCCACGGGGAGAGAATTTTAACTTGGCACAAATATGGGAAGTGTTCTCCTTCTGCCAGATGCACACGGAGGCTACCTCCGGGCAACGGGAAGATTTACAGTGTACCTTTTTACGATTCTAGATTTGAAGCTTTCGTGACTGCAATGATTCATACTCTTTGGTTCTATTCGGTAAAGTCACGTAGGTAAAACAAATTGAAATAAAATGAAAGAAACAATTAAAACACGACTTGGTGCAGCGATTTTGCTGTGACTGGTCCCACCTGAAGGCAGAAGCTTGCTTTGCCTCCGAAACGTGGTGTTTTAATTGTTTCTTTAATTTTATTTCAATTTATTTCAATTTGTTTTACCTACGTGACTTTACCGAATAGAACCAAAGAGTACCTTTTTACGGTTTGCCTCACACTTGCCGGTCGGTGTCAAAAAGAGATGTGATGAATCCTGCGCTTGGATGGACAGCACTGTGCTGTGATTTCATTCATGAGCACTGCATCCATATTGGAAATTATCTATTAATTGTATCTGGTTTCACTTCTCTCTCATCTGTCTTCTCCATTGCTTTCTCATTTTTGTCGTGAGTTTTGGCGTTGATTTCTGCTCGAAGGTTTCTCATGTCCATGCTCACTTCACTTCGTCTCTCTGCCAATGACTAAATGATCTCTTTCTCTATCACATCACTACCTCCTTCCTACTCAAGCACTTTCCCTTCTGCCTTCTATTTTTCCCCCCTTTACATTTTGCGATCTTTCCTGGCCGCCTCACTTATCTGGGTCATGATTCTTTATTTTTTTACTTATTTTATCTGTGAGAGACTCACCGAGCCTCAAAGAGTTCTGCATCAGGATGTATGGCCAATTCTTTTTGGAGGAAACCGGAGTGCTTGGAGAAAACCCATATTTAGGAGGGGACTTCTCAACGATCTATAGAGATGGGTTGACAATCCCACTTGCTGTACTGCCATTCTCCTGGACATTGTGTAGCCCAGTGGATTTCGACATTTCGCAAACGTGTGCGATCCACTCACCCTTGCCTCTGTATTTTTATTACTCCTTTGTTTTTTCACCTTTGAAGGGTTTATCTGTTAATAAATAGCAACTCCTGGTTACACGTTTATATTGCATTTTAAGACCATTCATCCAGAAACATGCTTAAAACTAAATTTCTATCATATGGCCGCAAGGTGTGTAACTCCGTCTCCAGCTATCAGTCGCTCAATCCCTCTGACCTCTCATTCTCTGTGCTATCAAGACAGTGGCCGTTGCTTCCCCATACTCTGTCTCTGCTAGTACCGCGGTATCGATGAATGCGTTTTAGTTTTCGTTCTTCACGCTTGTTGTGCAACGATCACTACCAAACGCACTGTCCCCGGGATTCTCACCTCCAAAAGAGCTCGTTTCAATAAGGTGTCTGGCAAACCAGGCCACCCCCCCCCCCCCCCCGGCTACAACCTTCACAACTCGCCTCCTTGTGCCCCCCACCCCGTCCCCTCGCTCCCGCCACCGAACAGGACGCATTTGTGCAGCTCTACGGCAACGGCGTGGGCACAGATGCGGCGCGCTGGGGGGACACCATGTGGCCGTCGTTGCAGACGGTCATCGGCGTGGCGGCTGTGGGCGCCTGCCTGACCTTCGGAGCGCTATTCACGCAGAAGTGACGGCCGCTCTCCGCCGACTCAAGCCGCTCTCTTCGCTTTCGTCGCAGACCAGCCAGACCCGCAGCCACCGCTGATGGACGACGCAGGGACCCCCCCCCTTCACCTAGCCCCACTCCCTTCTCCTCGCCAACGGTGCCCCCCCCCCCCCCCCCAAAAAAAAAAAAAACACCCAACGCTGTAAATATTAAGCGAGGGACAGCAGGAACTTTCCGTCGGTTGAGAAGATCTTTGAATATTTATTAAGAGGGCCTCAACGCACACACCGCCTGTTGGATCTCACGACATTTGATGCATTCCAGAGTGGCGGCAGAGATGAATTTTTGAGAGGTGGATGGTTCGTGAGCATGCGTGCGGGGGCAGAGAGGGAGGAGGGTCCCTTGCGGGTTTGTGATCTCGCTCGCAACCTCGGTCGTCACGTCCTGCGGGGCCCGTCTCTCACGTAAATGTACTGTAACTGTGTCCGTGGACGTGACCGTCCGGCCACCTTGATGGGTCTGCATCCCGAACCAAGGGGACTCTTATTTATCAACTTGCAATTCAGAAGCTGCTCTTTTTCCAACACCTGGGTTCGTCATTTCACAAGAAAGCACTTTTTAATTACCGGTCATGTCGCAAAACTAATTCTTTATCGAGACAACATCTACCGTTTCACTGGTCAGTCTGTGTAACTGTTATGTACAGTGTGTGTGACTGTTATGTACAGTGTGTGTGACTGTTATGTACAGTGTGTGTAACTGTTATGTACAGTGTGCGTGGCTGTTATGTACAGTGTGTGTAACTGTTATGTACAGTGTGTGTGGCTGTTATGTACAGTGTGTGTAACTGTTATGTACAGTGTGTGTAGCTGTTATGTACAGTGTGTGACTGTTATGTACAGTGTATACCTTTTATGTACAGTGTGTGACTATTATGTACAGTGTATGTAGCTGTTATGTGCAGTGTGTAACTGTTATGTACAGTGTGTGTAGCTGTTATGTACAGTGTGTGTGGCTGTTATGTACAGTGTGTGTAGCTGTTATGTACAGTGTGTACCTGTTATGTGCAGTGTGTGTATCTTGCGTACAGTGTGTGACTTATGTACAGTGTGTATCTGTTGTGCACAGTGTGTGGCTTATGTACAGTGTGTATCTGTTGTGTACAGTGTGTATTTGTTGTGTACAGTGTGTGACTGTGTAGCTGTTGTGTACAGTGTGCGTGTGACTGTTATGTACAGTGTGTGTAGCTGTTATGTACAGTGTGTTTTGCTGTTGTGTACAGTGTGTGTAATTGTTATGTACAGTGTGTATCTGTTGTGTACAGTGTGTGTGACTTATGTACAGTGGTGTGTATTTATGTTTATTGTTATATTATGTGTACACAAACAGATGCTTTTTTTATTTCAGAGATTGCATAGTATCTCAGTGCCCTTCAGTTAATGCCACATTTTAAAGCACAGTTACAGTGAACTCATGTTGATTCCAACTGTTTAAACAGAGGCTAAGCTCACGTCACGTTCTGAAGGCTCAATCCAGTGAACTTGAAAAATCAACTCGCCAATTTCGGTTCCTGTGTTTCGTACATTTTGAGACATTTATTACCTTGCATTTGTCCACCTTTCTCCGTGACACACGGAGCAATCCAGTAGGTCATCCAGCAGGTTTGGTAAGAAAATGTCACACATCACTTTACAAACTGATTTATTTTTTTTATTCAACAAAATCGAATGCTTGTACAGTAATTCAGTAAAAAGGTGTTGTTTGCATATCACATTCGATGTCTGTTTGCCAATTCTGGATGCAGCTTCCTTCACATGTGCATTGTTACACTTTGAAATGTGGTGTTCCCATTTCAAACACTTTTTCAACAGAAAGCAATACTATCTTTAAACAAAAACACACAAAGAATATGTTTTTCTCATTGCTGCAATCAGGTTTATATCCTGAGTTATTAAATGTTAAGTGTGGACATTTCAGTGACAAAAGGCCACTGAGACATGGTCAGTGATTTTACGCTCTTATTTTCTCGTGTACATTGTGCATGGGTTGTTTAAACTCCCCGTACAGGCTGTGGACATTGGTGAACTGCTGCACAGAAGCACCTGCAGGTTGCTTTAATACTCTAGTCCATTATATCACTTAACAATGCTGCACGCGGTCTGAGACCGTGGAAGCTTGCCGATAATCTTTGTGACCAAAAATCAAAGCACTTCTGGATTCCAGATGTGACACTGCCTTTTATTTACTTTCGTACAAGGTTGGGATTGTCGGGCGCAGAGTTTGGTGGTTCATATTTTCTTCGTTATTATTTATGCTTAAACAAAAAAAACGGAGCTGACTTATGAAATCGAATAAGCTGAGAGATGCTTTTACAAACATGTGCAGGTCTTCAAAGCACGTGTGGTTTTTTTTTTATCAAATATTGTACCACTCTAAACCAAGTTTTGTGTAGGCCTCCGAGGATAAGAACAGGATTTTTTTTGTTCATTGATGGAAAGTTTGAAAAAGAAAAAAAATACTTCGTTTCTCCAGGCCCTTTAGTGCCTATCCTAGCAATGCAAGTAGTGTACGTGCAACCTGCCGCAGAGAACGCTTGTGTGTGGGACTTCACTTAAAGTGGCAGAAAGTGGCATCACGGGATTGAAGGGGCCAACGAGAGACGTTGGTGAGAGAGAGAGAGAGGCGTGGTCCATTCTGGGTCCTGGATTAACACCCTTGCAAGCACCGAGCTGCAAGCAAGCAGCCGACCTACTTAATGTACTCCACGTTGTTTTGTGCTGCAGATTGATTTGTCTTCTGTTCCACCGCACCGTTAAAGCATTGTGGTCTTTTTTGCAGAGGCCGTCAAAACCGATCCCCTGCATTGCGCTTGGCCATACGTCCCCTCCAGTTTCTCCTGGCATGTAAAAAAAAGTCCCGTAGTAGAAACGTTCGACGATGGGGGGGGGGGGGGGCGCGGGTGGCTCGTGAGTTCACGGCGTGGCTCGTCGTCGTGATCTCTTTCGGCTAAACGCTTGCACGGGGTTTGGCTTTTATGCTCCTTCATGGAACCCCCCAATGCCTTTGATCGTCACGTGGGACAGAAGAGCTCCGAGTGGTTTCTTTTTTTAACGTCCCGTTTATTTTTTGTTATGTTAAATTTAAAAAGAAAAAAAAATATGAATGTGAATGTGTTGATATTTGTAGCTCAGTATTGTTAAGTTACTTAGCCAGTTAAGTCACGTATTAAAATGGTTGTATAACGATTTTAACATGTTCTGATATGAAGAACTTTTTTTCTGCTCTTAATTGCTTATCTTCTTCTTGTGCTTCTGTTTGTAGTTGGGAAAAAAAGAATTCCTGTTTAAAACGTTTACGCACTTTATTGTTGTGATATAAAATTTCCTTTCACTTATCTCTTTATTCTGTGCAATTTAGTTGTCTGTTATGTGTCACTAGTAGCTTGATGTTTTATGACCATGTCCTCATTTGCAGTATTTTAAAAGTATTTTAGTCCGCTTTATTTCAAGCTATGTTCAATGTGATTTCATTGTTAAACATGAATAAATGGAGTTAAAATAGGAACATTTGTCGCCAATGTCCTCTTGTGCTCTCCCTTTCATTCTTTCCTGCCCTATCTCTGTCTTCAGTGTCGTGTGTCTCATTCAGCCATGCCTCTCTCATGCATAAAATACCACCTTGGTTGTAGACAGAGTTGATGATCAGGCTGCATAAGCCTCTTTCCAATAAAAAAACCCAAACAGTGCAAATGCAAGTGCCCAGCCAATGTTACTTACGTCTGTTGGACTAATGGATTTATTTCAGAGGTTTTTTTGAGCAAACAGCTTTGTGCATGCTGGGGGTTCCCATTCGAGTCGGCTCACCGACTCCCTTGAGGCCTTTCTGGAATGCAGCAAGTTCAGCGATGGCCTCGTGCACATTCACCCATTCTAGAGGTTCTGGCCGGTGAGACGTCTCCAAAAATACGTGACATCTCCTTGCACAGCCCCCCATTCAACGTGCAAGCTCATTCTGACACAGCGCATCTTGTGTAACCGATTTACGCGGACATTTCACACGCGCAAACGAAGGGATTTTGTTTTCCACTGAAATTCTCCAATGGCGATTATTGAATGGTCAAGGGAGGTGCTCTGTATAGGCATGGCATTGTGACGCATCAAATCGTAAACAAACAAAAAAATCCCCGGTTTTATCCCGATCGTGCTGTCCGATGTTTGCCATGAGGTGAAGTTTCCGTTCCAATCTCTGGCATAAGTGCTACCTTCCAAACCCCTCGTGTTAAAAGAACAATCCACGGAGGATTCTACAGAGATAAAGCTCTGACCTATTCAAGTCCACACGGTATAGAGCACCACTTTCCTGCCTACTTTTTCCCATGACGGCAAAACTGATATTTAATTCTCAGAGCTGTGATTTATGGCCGAGCTAGATCTTCGATGATTGTCTGGGTGGAAGGGGGGGTTGTGCAGTCATTGGGTGACCGAGCTGAGACCATCGATTCGCTTTTAATCACAGACGTCTGTTGCCTGAATTCGAACCCAGGGTCCCGGCGGTACTAGTTCAGCGCTCTAACCTCTTAAGCCTCCTGGCCACAAACAAATACGGGCGTCTTCAGAGGCCCATTGCACTGCCAGTTAAGTCTGCAAAATTTGCGGCCATGGGAGGTCCCATCATGATGCTTTGGGCTGGGTTAATAGCAGCTGAGAGGTGGCTGGGGCAGGGGGAGTGGTGGAATCTAAAAAAAAAACGTTTTTACAGATCCTGGGATAGCTCGCATCAAATGCTGCTATGTGTGTGTTTTGCAAACGCCAAGCAAAACCAGCTGTTCGAGCATTCGAGGTGCCCTGGTAGAGGCACCGGCTGATGAAGTATGATTGGCCACGGGACAAATAAGAGTTTGAACCCTAGGGCACGTGTTGCGTGTGGTGAGTGTGTGTGTACGAGGCCCTCTGCGTCATTGCACAACGGTAGCACGTGCCTTTTTGCCCCATCATGTTTAGTCATGTGATTCCTCGGGGCTTGAGCAGGATGATGATAATGATGTGAGTGCATTTTTTTTTCACCACAATCATGTGCTGAGAGAACGTTGGAAAACTATATATCCTTGTTGTTTGCTAAATATATATAAGTGCCAGAATATGAAGACTGCTGCCAGAAAATGATTATCAGTTGC